GATCGGCTTATCTGCGATGTCAGTCCAGTCCAAGCGTTGCAGTAGACGATCAACATCTTCTGGGAAGTTTTTGGGGAATATGGTGAGGACATCCCCCGGTCCATAGGCGATCGGATGGTTACTGCTGAATTCCAAATGACGTACGTCTTGCCAATGTGTGCTAGGAGTGAGGCGTCGATTCTTCTCCAGCGTCACATTCAAATGTTGGGTGGCGGAGATGGCAGCAGATTTCGTCCTAGTGGGTTTCGCTGCTTCGGTCTCGTATTTTGCTTCTGCCGAGTCATCGATAAAGGACGTTCGCTCATCGCCGCCATTGGCCAGCTGCTTTGACGAACCATTGAGTGCGTTCTGACACAGCGCGAGAGTCCACTTTGGATCCAACAAAACGTGCTCCGAGATTGGACTTGTACCTTCCGCTAATGGAAACTTGGCCAGAAGGTGATGGCGGAAGTCATAAGACCAAGGAACGAAGCTTGCATCAAGCCTTCACTGAAAATCAGCCAATACTCTTTGCCATTCAAACAACCGAAGCATTGACCCTTCATCATGCTGTTCATCTGCTTCACCTCGAGGATATGCCTCCTTTGCTCCTAATTGAAGTAGTCTCTTGTGAAGCTTTCGAGCCGCCCAGTTGAATCTAGTCAACGAGTCAGCCCCTGCCATATGAATTCCTCCGTAAATGACCACGTGTACTTAGGATATGAGCTGTCTCCTAAGCCAAATGTTGTCAACTGGACGCCTTCAAGATACGAATATGGTAACTTCCTCCGGAGCAAGCTTTTCCAGAATAGCCTCGCATTAAGGGGTAGATCGCCTTGGCCTGTAGTCGAGATGACTACGATCACGACAGAGTAAGTCCTTAGGGATGACTAGCTTGTATCAGCTTTTGTCTGCGTGTTTTCCGCCGTTTTTCAGCTTGCCGTGTCAATTGTGTCCAGTTTAGATACATAGGTCCAGAAATGGATACGCTCAAGCATACGTCCGAGCTCTTCTGCATAGTCATATGCATTACCAGTCTCTGAACCATAAGCGACCAGAGCTGATCTGTTCTGCATTTGACACGCGATTTGCGTTCAACGTAGCCCAATAGAAAAGAAGGGGAAGCAAACACTAGTATTTGCCACCTTATGAAAACGGAGAAATCGTCTTGCAAGTGATCTTCCTAGGCAACCAATAGTGATCCAAGCCTGTTACTTCTAAAGAGGTGGGATTCATCCACTGGACAAGGCGGTCCCAGGCATAAGTCGTCCTTGAGCCCCTTAGACTGCTTTCAAGATTTATCTTGTGTCCTTTGCCACAGTTGTGTAGTCGTGACAATTCACATGCTCAGACTAGCAGTGATGTATAAGGCTCGTGATATCATCTAGAGACGTTTCTTCACTTCACATAGGAGAATTGTATTGGTGACTCTAAATATAGAAGTGAAGCAGTACCTAAGTAGATAATCTGGTGAATCTGGTTGCAGTGAGATGAATTGTGGCTTGGCAGTAAAGCTGCATGAAGGGTCCGCACGGGCGTCTTACTTAATCCGGCTTGGTGCTGAAGACTAGCGCGGCTTCCCTACATTTTCTTCTCTTCTGCTGTTCTGTTTGTAAAACCTCCTTCTTTCCTACTTCAAGAACGGTACTTTGTTTACTGACAACAAAAACTTCCTCTTACCTTCTCACACCTTGATTCGGGCACGCTTGAGCTACCCTCATCCTCCTCGTCAAGTCATTTCCTCAAAGGCATTCTCAACCTCGCCTTTCCTCAATCCAAAAAGCCTATCAGCAGCTTCAAGCTCACTACAACTTCTCAACACAAATATGTCTGCCGTTGATAGCATCACCGAGAACATGGCCGCCACCTCTATTGCTCCGTTAGCACCAGAAGGAGCAAACAACATCTCCGGTGGCGAGCCCATCAACGCTGCCGAGAACGAGGCAGTCATTGCCGCAGCTGCTGAGGGCCGTCGTCTTTACATCGGAAACCTCGCCTACGCGACCACTGAGGGGGAACTCAAGTCCTTCTTCACCGGCTTCTCAGTGTATGCTCTTTACTCAGACTTTGTCTGTGCCTTAAAATGCTAACACATACATCAAGCGAGACCACGTCCATCCCCACCAATCCTCGTACCACCCGACCAGTTGGTTACGCCTTTGTCGACCTCTCTACTGCAGAAGAAGCACAGAAAGCCATCGCCGAGCTCGCTAGCAAGTTCATCCTCGACCGTAAAGTCTCCGTACAGCTGGCTCGCAAGCCTGAGACCGCCGCCGAGAAGCAGGCCGCGGCTGCTAGTGGTGGAGAGGGCCTTAGTGGTGGGGAGGGCCGTCGTAGGAACTCTGGCCGCGGTCGTGGACGTGGCCGTGCTCGTGGTGGACGTACTGGTCGGGGTGGTCGAAGCGTAAGCTCTGTCTCAATAAATTCTCCAACACCTTCATGCTAACACAAGGATGTTACTAGCGTCAAGCCAACGCTGGTGAAGATACCAATATCCCAGGCCAGGCCTTGCCCTTAACAGAGACCACCAACGAGGGTGCACCCGCAACCAACGGAGCAGAAGATAAGGCCCGTGCTCCTCGCCAACCCCGTCAACGTGGACCGCCTGAGGATGGAATCCCCTCGAAGAACAAGGTCATGGTGGCCAACCTCCCTTACGACCTTAGCGAGGAGAAGGTAAGCTTTAGTGGGTCCCTAACATCTACAGGATTCATCTAACACAGTGATCATAGCTCAAAGAACTCTTCTCTGCCTACAACCCTACCGCTGCCAAGATCGCTCTTCGACCTATCGCCCGCTACATGGTCAAGAAGCTGCAGGCCCGTAACGAGCCCCGTAAGGGTCGTGGATTTGGTTTCGTCTCTCTAGGATCGGAGGAGCTGCAGCAAAAAGCTGTCAGTGAAATGAACGGCAAGGAGGTGGAAGGCCGCGAGATTGCTGTAAAGGTCGCTATCGACAGCCCTGGTAAGGAGGATGTCGACCCCGAGGCCGCTGGCACGGCTCCTCTCACCGAGAATGGAGTTGTCCAAGCCAACGACCCTCCTGCGACTGAAGCTGCCTAATCTGCCCCGGCACAGAGATGCGTTGCTTCACTGTTTACATCGATCTCACCGTCTTTGTTCACATCGAATGCTCGCAGAAAAATGGAGTGGGAATCTTGGCGGCTCTCTCAGTATCAAAACTTATGCATGCATTTAGAGCGACTGATTTCCTTCTCTGCGAGGTGGTTTAGAAGCTCGATATGGCCGCATTAACGAAGATACTGTTCCTTGTACTACCATTACGAAATGCTTATCGCCCGCCACCACTGTATTCTAGAATTAGATAGTCGATGAGGTGATCCAAGTTCGAAAAGTTTGATATACAACTTGATGCAAATTTGAGCTTCCTCAACCGTATGCTAAAGCATGTGGCAACCCAATATACCTGTCGAGCCGTCTTAAGAAAAAAGGGGTCTCTGGAGCTAGCGCGCTTATCGATAACAGATGCGTCCCACTCGTGTGCACTCCATTCCAACGACAACCAATTTGTGAGCCAACAGCGAGCATTGAACCCTCAATTGCCCCGACCATCAATGAAACTTAGGTAACAAACAATCTGCCCACCCACTTGCACATACAAAGTCCAATAAGATGTGGGAAGTCGACCCTGAAACCAAGACCAAGGTGCCCCTTTCTCCTCCTACCAAGTCAATCCCTTCTGACCGGTATCCTTGCAGCTCGCAGCCCTGCAAAAACGCCCCGGAAACACAACGTGCATCGACTGTTCCGCCCCATCCCCGCAATGGGCCTCTCCCAAATTCGGCACCTTCATCTGCCTGACATGCGCCGGCCTGCACCGCGGCCTAGGCGTCCACATCTCCTTCGTACGCTCAATACAGATGGACTCGTTTAAGCCTGCCGAAATAAGCCGTATGGAATTGGGCGGCAACAACAACTGGAAGGAATTCTGGGAGAGCAAGAGCGGACAGAAGTGGGGAAAGCCGGGGCAAGGAGGGGACGGGGAGGCGATGCGGTTGGTGGGGGACAGATACGGCGGCGATGAGGGCGAGGAATACAAAGAGCGCTTGGGGTGCAAAGTCGAAGGACGGGAGTTCTCCGGGATGCCGATCAAAGAGCGCAAGAAGATGGAATCCCGCGGCGTGGAAACATCGACCGCGCGCACATCGTCCCCGCTCGCCGGTGCGGGAGCACGGTCACAGAAATCGCAGAATGAGGATTTCTTCGCGAGGAAAGGGAATGAGAATGCCACGAGGTCTGATGGATTGGCGCCGAGTCAAGGCGGGAAGTATGGAGGATTCGGCAGCGAGCCAGCCGTGCCGATTGCGAGACAAGGGAGTGGAGGGGCTTTACCGGGGGTGGACGATTTCCAAAAAGATCCCGTGGCGGCATTGAGCAAGGGGTTTGGATGGTTCACGAGCACGGTGGGGAAAGGGGCGAAGACGGTCAATGACGGCTGGATACAACCTACCGCCCAGAAGGTACGCTTCCCCTCTCACAGCGTACACACCTACCCACCTCGAACCTTGAGCGATCGGACTGATAGTGTGGGGGTGTCCAGATAGCAGAAGCGGACCTCGCGACCACCGCCCGCCTCACCGCCGCCCAAGCCGCCAAGACCATCCAAACGGGCACCAAAGGCGCCGCCGATCGCTTCAACAGCTTTGTGGAGGACACAGGCGCCGGGCCTCCGGGTGCTACGGCTGGGTCGAGAGGGGCGGTCGAGCCGGAACGGAGGGACTTCTGGGATTCGTTTGGGGATGCGGGGGCGGAGAAGAAGAGTTCAAGCGGGGCGATCGGCACGGCGGCCATGAGGAAAGGTGGTGGTGGCAGTGGAGGGAAGGAGGAGGGATGGGGTGATTGGTAGAGGGGATGTTTGGCAGAAAAGGGGGGGGGGGCTTTTTTTGGGTTGCCGGGGTCGAGTATTTGGTATAAATGTTAGACGATGGACCGAAATGTATCATTATACCTCTATGCTACAGTAAGAGCGTCAACCCTCCCCATCCACCCACCTCACGCCCTTCAAAACCCCCTCAACTCCTTCAAAAGCACCTTCTCCCTCTGCCCCACCACCCTCTCGAAGCGATCAGCACCCATGACGAACGTGCCCCTGCCGCCCGTCAAACTTCTCAAATGCTTCAGATAGCCCACCATCTCCTTCAACGGCACCCGCGCCGTGATGTTCCGCTGCCTGCGGCCGTCGACCGCGATGCCTTGCCCCCGGGTCTGGGAAGCGGACGGGCCGAAGGGATCCGGGGGCGCGTAGACTCTGGCGACGTCGATCCGAGGCAGGGGGTCGGGGGTGGAGTTGACGGCGGGGCCGGATGTGACGCCGGCGTCGTCGAGGGACATGATGTGCCCGCCGCGGGAGGAGGAGATGTCGTTGACCACGGCGCCTAAGCTGGCTTCGTCGACGCTGACGGTGACGTTCATCACCGGCTCCATAAGGACCGATCCGTTCTCCAGAGCGGTTGCTTTGAGCGCTGCTTTTGTGGCAAGGCGTGCGGCGGAGGAGAGAGCAGCGGGGGTGGTGTCGGTGCCGAAGATGTGTTTTCTGGGGTCGAGGGTTAGCAGAACGTGGGTATTGTGCAGCTGAAAGGCGTAATTGATACCGCGGCTCAAGGCGGCGAGAGCGCCGTTTTTGAGGGCCGAGTGGAGGGAGGGGATGGAGAGGTGGGGTGGGAGGTCGCCGTCCCAGGGCTCGGCCTCTGAGGCGTCGTCTGTAGTTGGTTTAAGAGATATTGTGACTCTATTACCGTCTTCGTAGGCTGAGTATGCGTATTCGTCGTCCAGGGGGATTTGAGTGGTTTCGGAGAGAGGCTCGACGTGGGCTATGCAGGAGGCACGGCCCTGTTTTCCACCTTGCTCTTTGTCGAAGACGTAGATATCTGGCGAAGAAGCTTCAAGGATGGATTCTCGGTACGCGATCTCGATTTTACCCATAGCAGCTTTAGCTTTCATGTCGTTGACAAGGCGGTCTCGGGCAATCTCGAGGTGGAAATCGCCCATGCCGCTTAACAACGTTTGGCCCGATTCTTCGTCCTCGGAGACTTGCAGACTTGGGTCTTCCCGGATTAGTAGGTCTAAAGCACTCTTGACAGTCTTCTCCTCGCTCATGCTGTGCGGCTCGACGCTTGAGAAGAACACTGCAGGAGGGACCTCGATGGGTCGGAGCTGCAGCGTGTTTAGAGGAGAGGGCGGCCCTGATTTAGGATTCGCGCCAGTGTACGAGATCAGTGTGTCACCTGTCCTCGCATACTTCAAGCCAGGAATGACCCCAATCTGGCCTGCTGGAATGGTATCGATCTGGACTGAGTCGGAAGCATACATCTTGAGCAGCTGTGGCGCTCGTTCGGAGACTTGGAGATTTGTATTGAATAGCATAGACTGGCGTTTTATACTACCTGAGTAGACCCGGACGTAGACCAGTGCACCACGGCGAGAATCATGGACGACTTTGAAGGCTAGAGCGCATGATTCCAGGTTCTTGATTAGGGCTGTGCTTTGTTTTTTGAACTTGACAGTTGAAGCTTTTGACTTTGGCCCAATTCCAGCGGACACCAGTTTTCCACTTAGCAAGCTTGAGAGGGTTCCTTCCGCGCCGCCGAGGTTGATCTCGGGATCTAGAGCCTCAATGGGGCTTGGTAGTAGTTGGATAACAGCATCGAGCAGAGGCTGAACGCCCATGTTCTGGAAGCTTGCGCCAGCAAATACGGGAACGATATTGGATGACTGATTCAGAACGCATCGCCTCAAGGATATCATGATGTCTTCGCTTGCAATGGCGAGATGATCTTCATCGACCTCCAGGTATTTCTCAACCATACGTTCGTCATGCTCACTCAAAAGCTCAACAAGCGCTCTCCTAGCCTTCTTGATTTCTAGAGCGAACTCTGCTTCAGATGACGGAAGATCGTCAATAGAGATGACTTGAAAGTCCTTGCCATCCCCTCCCTCAGTCCATTTGAAAGACCGAAGTCCAATCGCATCTCCTAGTCCAACAAATTTGCCCCTTCCTCGTTCCCACCAAGGCACCTGGCAGACGGCCGGCCACGCGTGAAGACGCGCAGCAATCTGCTTAACGGTCTCACCAAAAGCCGCACCATCCCGATCAAGTTTATTCACATAGATGATCTTCGGAATGCGGTACTTCGCGGCCTGGTACCACACCTTTTCTGTCTGTGCCTCGACGCCTGCTACGCCATCGAGAATACAGACCGCGCCATCTAGAATGCGCAATGATCTAAGGACTTCGAAGGTGAAGTCTGCGTGGCCGGGCGTGTCTATTAGATTGATGTTGTGAGGCACGAGGTTGCTTGTATTTGCGGAAGTGTTTTGAAGGTCGCCGACAAACAGAGGCGGCCAGTGGAATGAGATGGCGGCGGACTGTATTGTTACGCCTCGCGCTCTCTCTGCGGGCAGGAAGTCGGTGACGGTGGAGCCTTCGTCTACATCTATAAATTCCATAAGAACATGAAGACGGGAAAACTCAAGCCTCTGGTTTGCGAACGAGATTTTTGCGAATGAGCTGCCTTCTGAAAAGAAATACGGATGTGCAATGGATACTGGAGATTGAGATAGAAAACAAAGAAAACACCATACTTCCTATTCGTCTTGTATGCCCACTATAGTAGAGCATGCGCTCCGTGGTCGTCGTCTTGCCCTTGTATTTCGTAAGCATTGCGGCCAGAAGCTATATTCGGTTCATGACATACCGCATCGATATGGGCAATGATGCCAATATTCCTCGTTCTGGATACCTCTGTTGAGACATCTTGAGCTTTTGTCTGTAATGCAACACTGAAAGCACGTCTCGCGCTGTGAATGAATAGGTATCGACTACTTGGCTTGTATAACTGGCGGCTCGAAGCCCGCCCAAGTTGCATTTACTCGGGCTATTTATTGGCAAGAGGTTCTTCAATATCGATGACCAAATTTAGATTCCTTGACCGAGGGACACAATGACCCAGCGGGAGCGGGTTGCTAGCACATACGCTAGCATGCAGGGGCTACCTTAAGGTACCCACTCTAAGGTACATTACCTTACCATACTGGCGGTGGTGTGGTCGCGAATCGTAGCCCGACTCTTGTACATTAAACCTCGTAGAATACCTTCTCTTCCTCTTCTCCAACTTCTGCGTTTCCTTCCTCATCAACCCAGAAGTTGACGAATGCTCCAGACATGATAACATACATCGGTATCCCGCTCGCCGTACTGGGTGTTCTACCAATCCTCCACACGACCATAAACTCCCTGGTCACCATCCATAAGGTCAAACAATCCCTCAGACACAATGGACTCTTCGAAGCCACCACTCGCAGCAGTCTCATGTCCGGCATTATGGAAGTCACCCTGCCAGTATTCAGCATCACGCCCCTAGACCGCGAAGTGGATGCCGAATACTGGAAACTGAATCGTAGACCTTCCACGCTAAAGGGTGCAACATGGACCATCTTCAACTAAAATTTCCTAATTACGGGGTCCAGACTCTATAAATGCAGTATAGTGATGAGCTACAAATTCCGCATAGCAGGAATCGATTTCGAAGGATTCATGGCATTTCTGCTCGATAGAGGCGCTGTGCCGGACATTAAAGGTCTGCATACGTTGAGGGTTTCTGGATTGTGGACGCCGACTGGGACGAGTATGTTGTTGAGTCCGGATACGCTGGATAATGTTTCGAAGGTATCAGCGTCCAACTGTTCAGACGGAGTCCTGAGCTTGACGTTGCATTGGAATTCAGCTTGGGATCAAAGGGACCCTAGCCACCTTTCGCCGGGCTGGAGGCGACTCCACTTATCTGTAGAACTCAACGAGACACATCATGATGCCTTGGAGAAGCAGCCTCCCCATCCCAGGCCCACATCAACTCGTTTTCGTCTTGGTCATGTCGACTCCTCGGTCTCAATCGCCCATGCGGTTTGGGAGCACAAGAACAACCCTCTAGCATCATCTCCTTCGCTAAACCACGTCCGCTCCGGTCCAGCTTCGAATTGGACCCCATCTTTGGTTCTTGCGCTTGGGCTCTCCAGGTCACTCCCCCTATACCATCATAATCTCGACCATCAACTCACCGGCTTGGCCACCCGTGACACCAATCCATGCGGCATTCTTGTCATCCTCGGACTCGTGGATGAAAGCGAAGCCCCGCCTTGGGAAATGAAGCATGATCCGAATGGGCGTATTCTCATAAACCATCTAAGTTTTGCTGCTAAGTCAAGAGCAGTCCAAGATGAAATGACGATGAGGCCAGAGCAGGCAGACACTGCAAGAAGGAAAAGGCAAGCAGAAGGAATCCGTCAATTTGGCAGGAGGAGCACGCGATGAGTGTTTGCACTGTTTCGAAACGATTCCGGGAATGGAGTGATCAAGGCGGGATACCCGTTAATGACTTGAAATTTCTCGAGAGTAACGAAGTACCCTTCTGCAACGCGGCGTGCGTTATGGGTCTCTTTTGAGAAGTGAGTACGAAAGAGGAGAGCACGGTTGCCCTAGACAACCGAGAATCTGTACAGCATTGGAAGAGAGTCCGGCTGGGATGACCGCGTATGTAGTGCCACTCAATAGTCCTTGTTAGCTAGCGTTCAGATACTTTTGGTTTGACCTCTGTCTTCTCATGTCTTTGTCCGCTCTGCGAGCATGGTTCAAGCTGTTGCCCAGACCTTCAGAGTCTCTACGTTCTTTTTCGAGACTGCTTTCTGTGACATAGTCCAGCATGAACCTTCCAAGCAGGCCCTTTCTCCATCTTTGAATCATCCATAGTGCTGAAGCATCAACATCCGGCGTGCCTCCTTTTTGTAGCCTTCCAGTCTTTTGTGCCACAGCGCTCAAAAAGTCTATGATATCATTTGTAGGCGACGAATAGTCTGCATAGATCTGTGGATCATAGATGTTCATCTGATAGAGTAGGTAGTCTGCTAAAGTCGTCGGAGGAATGATGGTGTCCTTGACGCTTCCACACAGGGCAAGTTTGAGCATGGACTCTGCATTCGGCACGTACGGGACAAAGACACCAGGCGTATCCATCAAGTAGACGCCCTCATTGTTCTCATCGCCCTCGATAATCTTTACCGTCGTTCCAATCTTTCGAGTCACTCCAGGTTGAGCGCCAGTGTGTGCCGCCTTCCCCTTGTGGACACCGACCTGCCGTAGAGCATTCAGAAGAGATGATTTGCCCACATTGGGCATTCCGACAACCATCATCCTGGAGCCCATCAGGGAATCTTTGGCTGCAGCGTGGTCGCGAGCGAAGTTGAGAACTTTTCGGATAGAGCTTTTATCCTTGTGGTCAGAGAAAAGTACTGAGCTGGGCTGTTGCCATTCTTGAATCAGCCGTTCTCTCTGTACGAGGTCAGTCTCCACCCTCAGCATGATGATGCAAAGGTCTTGCAACATACATACACTTTTGTCCTGCTGCCTGCCTTCACTGCCCAGATCCTTCTTTGTGTAGACAATCAATCTTTCCCTTCCAGCTAGATTTTCCTCGAAGAGCGGGTTGCGAGATGTGAGCGGTACTCGATAGTCTCGGCATTCAATGACCAGGTCTATGTACGTGAGCATCGTCTTCATCTTATTTAGACCTGCGCGGTGATGGCCTAGAAAGTAAGAGCGAGGGAGGGAGTCGAGGGTGGGGAAGACACTTCGCGGCACGAAGGAGGCCATTGAGGGCGTCGTGACAGCAAGCCATCATGTGTGATAGTCTTCTTGCATCATAGCCCGCATGGTGTGTTGAGGTCGAAGCAGCAGGAAGCTTTTGTGAGATTGGAGAGTAACCTTTGGCTTTGACTGAAATCATCCTAGACGTGCCAAGCCCGTAAGCCCCCTCGGGTTAGCGTCTTTCTAGAATGCATAAAGTTGGAATCGCTAAAATGTACAAACACCTGCCCACGCACCACCATAAATCAACGCTCGTACACCCAACTCAATCATAAACCTAATCTCATCAAGTTTATGTAAGTCAGATCCTCTTCTAGTGGCTCACACCATGTACGAATAAGTACAGAACGTCTCCCACAAATTCTACCTTTTGAGCTCAGGATGAGTCGTCCGTTCGTCCAGAACTGTAAGTTTTGAGCACAGCAATGATCACTATTACTAGTCTTGTCAGTTCTCGTCCATTCGGTCTATCCAGCGGGTCTGGCTGGTCTGGGTGTTGCTGGCGACAGATATCTTCTCGGAAGCCAGTTGGAAAAGGTGGAGGTCAAGCTGGGATCGCGGATGGATGCCGTCAAAGACGATCTGGGGATCGTGAAGAAGGACGTCACAGGCCTTGTGGACATGGAGCGTCGCAAAGTTGATGTTGTGGAGAGAATGCTGGATTGCGGAAAGAAGAAGAAGAAGTGAGAGGTCATGCAGGATGGATGTTGCTATTGGCTTGCTTTGCATTGCTCAAAGGCGTATACCAAAGAAGGAGTGGGAGTTTCTGGCAGGATGATTGTTGCTATTGGCCTGCTTTGCATTGCTCAAAAGTGTATACCCTATGATTATTGCTACGGCAGAAAACGCTAGACAACAGTCTCAACTTAAGAAGTACCAACGAGCTTGATACACGAGCCAGAGGAGCCTGCGATCAAGCCTCCTCTTTCAACTGCTAGTGTAACAGCGGGGGGGCCCCAGAAACATTCACCATCTGCCCAAATCAGGTCGCCACGAGACATCTCACGCAGGCGACCCCTGGAGCTGTGCTCCCCACCACTGTAGGATACACCCTAGTTATCTTTGGTCCTGGCTCGCCATATTGGGGACCGCCGTTCCTACAGGGTGACGACGATCTATTCGTCCAGACCACTGGCGCTGCCCCAAGCACTTTATCAGCCGTAACAACGACACTAATACTCTCTGAACCGGTGACAGCTGGGACTGCTCCTTTGCCCACTGTTACCGCGAATCTCACAGCAGTAAGTCCATGTCTACTCCAGCTGATGGCCATTGGAGCAAATACGCCACGAGCCGCGTAACGAATAAAAGAACAAGCGCTGATTCTAGAGTGCAGGCCATTTGCCGGACCGTACCAGGCCTAGCTGTACCTTGTGTCACCCCGCCTCCAACCGTATCCTGCGGGCCCGCTGGCACATGCAGCCCGGGCATAAAATCCGACCAAACTAGCTGCGAAGCCGAATGCTATGGTGGACTTTGCGCCCCGGCCCAGGAGGGCGTGACAGTTGGCAGTTACCTATGCTCATGTCCCGACTCCTCTCCGGCCTGGACATGCATCACAAAGATCTAGCCTGCGACCGTAGTTTCGACTTGCAGCAAATCCAATGACATTTGGCTTTCGCACCGAGTAGAACATCTTGATCCCTAGCTTTCCTTAAAACAAAGCCTCTCCAGTCCTTGCTCATAATCATGTGAGGTAAGACATTATACAAGTTAATACATTCCATACACGCAAGGGCTTGGCATTGCCCCTTCGTCACTTTCATGCGCATACTGCGACAGGTCATTTCGAGGTCTCCTTCGATGAAGGCCTTTGGCTCATATAAGATCTTTTGGCATCCATTCCTTCTGTCTTTTTCAACCACCATCACTCAGCTTTCCTTGGGATCACATCTCATTGTTAGCCTGCCTCACTGATCTCTTCGGCATGCACCTGCCTCGCGTGACCACCCTCGTCATCTATCTCATTGCTCTTGCCTCAGCCTCGCCCATTGCCTGGCCCGATGACAAGCTCGAAGAGGTCAACGCTCTGCGGGTGAGAGGTGTCTCAGAGGTGAGCAGACTCTCGCACGCGCTCAACTTTTCACCATGCCTTTATTCCTTCTGCAAGCTATCTTCGCCCCGCCAAGCGGACTCGATCGCCTTTCATTTCATCGATCTGGTTCCCATTCTAACACACCGTAGGCCGAGATAGCAGTCCGCATCCCACGACCGCTTACATCTCCCTCGCCTGCTCCGCTCTCGGAACCAGTCTCGTTTTTCGGACGCTCCACCAAGAGGAATGCAGATGTGTCGTTAGGTGCTGGCGGTGAAACGGCAAAGAGTCACCAAAGGAAGACACACTTCAGGGAGACTGTTGGCAGAAGGGGGGAGGAAATTGGAAGACGGCTATAGCGTGACCGGGAGCGTGAAAATCTGACAGAAAGGGGAGCTTGTGCACAATAGTCATTGCCCTAAGAAGTGCTTCAGATGCTACAGGGCCTGGGGCAAATTTAGAGAAACTCGCAGTGGGCGTTGTCTATCACTGAAGCAAGGTTCAGTAAATCAATTGCCACTGCACCGCTGCTTCCTTACTCACCTAGACACTAAGTTTGATTCCCCTCGTCACTCTTCACTGAAAATATTACCCTGCCAATAAGACCTTCCATGTAGTCGGATGATGTAGAGATCCACAATGGCCCTCTGGGATCTCGGGCCGGGCTGAGCGGTTCAAGCGCTAAGCCTAGTTGAGGTTTCGAACCCTGCCAATGTTGAACCCCGAACATGGAGAAAGAAGAAGGGAAGTGATACACACGTACACCCCCTTTTGATACATGTACACCCCCCCAAATCCGATTAGCTTCCGCGCGGCCGCTAGCCGCATAAGATATAAACCCCGCACATAGCCGGCTACACGAGGCGGACAGCAAGACGAGGCTACAAGAGGTGGGACTACACGAGGCGGACAGCGAGGTAGTCGACAGCGAGGTGGACGTGGTACGCCAGCCTACATGCAGGGTAACGAGACCATATCTTTTCAGCTGCAGGGAGGCCAGGTGACCAATAGGTAGTGGATATTCGAGTACGATAGGCGTATTTCTAGTAGCAACGAGAGAGGGTAGCCAGCCAATCAGCTATCGCCATAGAAGGACAATCCAAAGACCTCACCATTCGACGATTTGAAACCGTCTGATCTTTTAGACTTTATCAGGAGAGATCTGGGAAGGCTTGCCTTGCTACCACCAAGAGTCTCGGCAATATTCCCCAGGAAGCTATATGCGGGGTTTATACCTTATGCGGCTAGCGGCCGCGCGGAAGCTAATCGGATTTGGGGGGGTGTACATGTATCAAAAGGGGGTGTACGTGTATCACATCCCAAGAAGAACCAGTCCATAGCCAATGGGGCTTCCGACAGCAACTCCGTTGTGGAACAATTGTAGACCAACTACCACCACCGAGGGATTAAATACAGCTGAGAGGTCCATCCTCTTGCCATATACGCAGTAGAAGTACAAACAGGCTACCTTGGTAGGTAGTCAAGAACGCCGTGCTCCGGAAAAAATCACTCGCCCTCCCTGCTATTGACCAGATCATACGGTATTTCCATCAGCTGCTGTCAATTATAATTTGCCGAATTTTAACACCCACAGCATCGGCATGCTCCCTTACCTGTGCTTTACTTTCCTTTCACTCCACGCAAGCCAAAAGACAGGGTTTTCTCTCTCCATCGTGGTTACCGTCGCTCTGGTACCGGCTCTGACCATCGATGTAGCCGGGCAACATGTATATCCTCCCGGTCTCACGCCGTTGACCTACATTCTCACTTTCCGTCGGACTCTGATTTCGTTATTACATGAACACTCGGGATTTGCAAAGATTTGGGGTTAGCAGCCAGCCCGGTTGGTCTCATGCAGAGGGAAACGGCAGGAAAAGATATAATAGGCGAGGAAGGATGTTGATGCAGGAAAAGAGATTGCTGAAAGCGCACCGCGTAAAGATACAATTGGTCACAAGTGATTCCCAGCTTGTTCATTCCATGGTGTTGACGGTTGGATGCCGAAGGGAAGGTGCGCCTTGCAGAGTATGCATCCTGGAAAGGTATGATCACAACGGGACAAAACCTTAGGTTTTTACGAAAGCTTGCGGGCAGCAGACCGCTATGATTGGTTCTCTCGTTTTTCAAAGATGCTCAAATTGGTATATAGGCGCCAGTCCATGCAACCTCCTTTCCCTCCCATTCCTTGAACCTGTGTCCAATTGTGAAGTCCCCATCTAGAAACCCTTCCCGCAGGTCTTTGCTCCAAACGCACTCCCAAAGTTCGTGCTCCTCTTAATCCGGAGCTTAGGCTCATGCTCCGGCTGCTCGAAGTCCTTCTCATCCTTATCCAGAGAACTCTCCCTGCCCGAGCCAGTCCCACTAGGACTAAACGCCTCCGATCTAGCAGCTTGCAGCAATTTAGAGTCCAGCTCGCCCAAGAAATGCTTGTCTTCGCCTTTGCTGTTGTCCAGCCCAAGAGGCTCTTTCAGTTCTGGGTCCTCATCGGGAGACTTGTCTTCCCCATCTCGAGACCTATCTCTTTCATCCCAAGATTCGTCCTCGGCTACGGGGAAATAGCTATCTGAACGCTCAGAAGGTAATTTTGCAGATGAGACATGGGGTTCGAGTGGAGGTCGCTCTATTTCGGGCTGTGTAGGAGTCGGTCCATCACCCTCACCGGAGGGAAAGTCCGCATTGAAATAGGTACGGCGAACCAGAGGAGTATGCCCTGCGTCTTTAGTGTAAGGGTCAAGTGGTGCTTCAAGCTTGGAGGAAGGTAGCTGTATCGTCCGTGGCGAAAGACGAGACGGCGAAGATGTCCGAGACGACGGCGACTGGGGTGTCATGACCTGCTTAATCGGTACCGGAGACAGAGTACTAGACTTGAAGTTGATGCCGTCGAGGTTCTTGTCTATCTCAGCGCCGGACCCACTTGGCTTATGAAGACTAGGTTGCATGTCCAGAGAGTCTTTACGTCCACAAGTGGTGT